CTTTCCCAAAGGAAATGGGGAAAAGCAGCCTGCGGTTCTGCCCCCTCCCCTTCCCCAGCGCTCTTCGGGGGACACAATGAACCTTTTACACATTCCCAATTACAAGTGCTACTTGTGACCTTGCCAATATGTTGTCATGGCTGCTTGGCGCAGAAGCAGCTCGGCGAGCTCATTCACGGGCCCTCGTACGGGAACAGCCAGAGCCTCTGAATTGTCGCGGCCCCCATTGTACGGCTGGATTCACACATCGCCCCGTGCCCGTCCCAGGCGAAGGAGCGCGGCGGAGCTGGCCTCGCCTGGCCCTGGGGAAGTGCCCTCCAGAAGATGCCAGTCAGGCACTTTGTTGCCTGTTTTCTAACTCGCTGTAAATTCTTCCCTTTCAAGGCTCTGACCTTTCCTCGACTCTCCGTTTCCTCCTCCTCTTTTGTTCGGTGGGCTTACGCCGCCGGCCGCGGCGGCGGTACAAAGCGAGGCCGTCGGAGGGAACCCAAATGGCTGCGAACCGGTTCCACACCAGGGTTTTCCCTGGAGCTGGGCCAGGCTTGGGAGCGCCGGAGACGCGAGCGGAGCCCATCGCTAACCCGGGACGGGCTCTTTCTTTGGCTAAGCTGGTACTTCTGCAGTTGTGTGACCCCCTCTGATCAAATTGTCGGGGCTGACAGCTGCAGATGGATGGTTTTTCGGTTGGAGAACAAGCAGCCTGTCTCTGCGAAGCTGTCAGTTTTCACAGCTGTATATCTCACCTCTTTGTCAGCCTCTTTTCTCCTCTCCTCTCTCCCTCAGCCCACCCTGTGCTATCTTTTGATAAGCTATTCTCTCCACGGATGACTCAGATGACCTCTGCCTCCCATCCTCCCAATTCACTGCCATGGTAACAATTACTCAAGCTTGTCCCCAGTCATAAACCCCATCAAAGCTTTGTTATCTACATAGAAACCCTCCCGTGAGACATGAATTCCCCCAGTGTTCCTTCCAGATCACCTGTAACAGAGCCTTTCTCATTCAGATCCTCTTTATCTTTTGGAAATGTGTCACTTCGCACCAGCACCCACTTTGAATCTCGGCTGCCTACGCGGTGCTGTGGGCTGGCTGCTGCTGGAGGGATGTATTCAAAGGAAACTGGAATTAGCTGGGTGGCGTCGACTTAAATGGATGGAGATTTAGCCCTTCTCTTAACGTTATGGAGTCCAGCACAGGTGGAAGCCCATCTATGGGGAAAGACAGGCCTGAAGCATTGGGAAACTGTGGAGGGAACAGGGTTATGGGGAGGAGGAAGGCTGGAGGTCAGGATGGAGAGGTGGTGGCAGAGCTGGGCTGGCTGGCACTGGGGTCTGCATCTGGCAGAGGGAGTAAGGTTACACGGGAATAATCCTGATGCTTGGTGATGATACCTTGCATTTCCACGAGAATTAAGATATCGCTGATATCCTTGAGCATATGAGAGAGAACTAGAAATAAAACTTGCATCCAGGAGGGGATGTGAGCGCCTGCCTTGCGTACGCACCAAGAGCAGACAGCGTGCGGGGCCGCAGAGGCAGGATTTCAGCAGCTCTTTCTTTCTTGTTTGACCTGGCAGGTCATGAAGAATGAAGAGCTCAGCCTAGAGCTGCTCAACCTGGCCAATGCCAGGAGCACCCTTCCTCGCATGGAGAGCAACCACCACCGCTCCCCTGCCATGGCCGATGAATCCTCTGCCGAGCTGGAAAGAGGGCGAGCAACGGTGCGTCGTCTCTCAGCTCCGAAGGTGAAGGTAAGGACCTCTCTGCCTCGTCACCAGCTCCCTGCAGAACAGGGATCTAACAGGCACCTTCTTCTCTTTCTTAATAAAACCAGCCAGAAGATGCAGTTGCCTCTGAACACGAGCGGCAAAAGTTGGAAAGAAACGTGAGTGTGTGAGGGTCTGCTGCTGGATCCTTGGGGAAGCAGAGGGGGAATTTATTCTGACTGGCTGGCACGTCCTGGTGCTAACTTGAAGTTTGTGGATGAGCTGATGCCTTGGTTTATTTTAATTATTATATTTTTTAAGCTGTGCGGTTGAAAAATGAGGCTGGAACAACTCCAGCTCTTGTGGAGGCAAAAGCTGAGAGAGGGCAGCTGTGGTTCTCTCCATCAGTGCCTCTGGGTGAACAGGAGTTTAGAAGCCAACAAGCGTGGAGGACGCTTGCTTATTGTCTCCATGCCCTGACTTGAGAAAGATGGGGGTGATAAAGGATGCTCCCTGCTTCCTTCCCATCCGCAGCCCATGCGATACCAGCCTGGGCTCCACTGGGCAGGAATTCTGCTGGGAATCTGGCTCTCAGAGCGAGACTCTCCCTTGGAGGAACACCACGAGTTCCACCATACACCTTGGAGGTTCACCACCTCCACGTGCCCTGTGTCCAGAGCGCACACCGCTTCTGGTGTGCTACAGGGCACTGGTCACTCCCAGTTAAACCTGTCCTTTCCCCAGTGTATCACCAGTCAGCTGGACTTGTGCTCAGCTGGAGGCTCTCCTCACTTCTTCTCCGTCCACAAATCCCTCTGCTTAGCTCAGCCCTCCGTCTCATCTTCCTCTTGTTTGTCCCTTAGTTGCCTGGAAACCAGGATCACATAAAAGCGGAGCTTGAAAAACTGCAGAAAACCTGCGACTCGCAGCAGCAGAAGCTGGAAGAGAGAGTGTGAGCGCTTGAGGGCACGTTCTTCTGTTTGGCCGGGCGTTTGTGGAGCTCAGTCCTTGGGCAGAGAGGAGGCAGCCTGCCTTTGGTGAGGTGCAGGGTCGGAAACGGTGATTCACCCTTGGAACAGGTGAGGCCTGGAAGCAAAACCTGATGTTTCCAAGGCTCTGAAGAGGGTCAGCTCTCTGCTTAAAAGTCGGTGGAGTTTAGATACCTCTGAAAATCCACCTTCTGTGACACACACAGCAAATGTGACAGCCCAGAGATGGCTCCAGCCTTAGCCCTTACCCCTGCGGCAGTTCTTCCATGGACAGCCTGGGATGGGGTGGGTGTCCCGGCACAGGACACTGGAGAACGAGACCCTCTGACTCGGGAGGACATTCGCTTTTGGTTGCCAGAGCTCTGTGGCCGCTGGTTGGCACGGATCTGGTGGGGGCTGGCAGCTGCTGCTGAGAGATTCCTGTCATCCCATAGTGATTTCCTTCTCAAAGCTGGCTGTATTGGACCTACAGAGAAGTTTGGGCGTTTAAAATAAACACACCTTCTTTCTCTGTGCCCAGCATCGCCATGGGGAAGGAGCTGCAGGAGGCAAAGGGAGCAATCAAGGACACCCAGCACAAGCTGGTGGAGCAGTCAGCGGTAAGGGCAGGGTCTCCTTCAGCCCCTGGCACCCCTCCAGCCCCTGGCACCCTGGCTCCGGGACTGCCCCTGCTCATCCACTCCTCTTGGGTGCCAGGCACTTCTCCTGGAGCTGGCAGGAGGTGGATGTCTTGTGGTGCTCCTCCCTGTGCAGTTCCCTTCTCCAGGGGTGCGATGCACGTGGTGGAAGGAGCTGCTTGCCACAGGTGGTGGGAGGAATTTTGTTCACTCATATTTAGAAAGAGCTGGGGTGGGGATTGCAAATGACAGAAGGTAGCAGGGGAATAGAGACTATAAACATTTCCAGTGGGCCCCTGTGAAAAGCCAGGACCTTCCCAGCTCTAGTGGAGCTGAACATCTGGAAATAAAGTCCCTCACCTCTTATGGAGCTCCTTAGTGCCCCTTGCTTGGCCGGAGGACACGGGCAGCCGTGAGCATGTTTGCTGTGCCTAGGTGCTGCTCACCTCCCAGAGCCAGCTCCAAGAAGTAGAGGCGGAGAACTCCCGGCTGCAGCTCCGGCTGAAGGAGCTGAACGAGGAATATCGCTCCCGGCTCGCGCAGTACATCAAGGACGTGGCGGTGGGTACCCCCAGCCCCAGGGGCTCTCCTGGGCAGGGGAGGTCTCTCCATGCTGGCTGCCTACTTCTTGCAGGCTGCTGTCTCCTCTCCTTGCCAGGCTGCCGAGCAGAGCAGGCAGTGGGGCTTGGAGAGCCACGATTGCAGCTGGAGGGGGGCTCTGTGCCCTTGGCTTGGCCTGGGAGAGGAGATTCCAGCTCCCCTCCTCGCCCAGATTTCCTCTATGGCCACACTAAAGGGTCTGTGGGGACTTTTCTTTCTTGGTTGGATGGCTTGAAAGATCCTCTTATTTACAGTGGCTGCCTTCCAGTTGGCTTCTAATCACCCTCCCTGGGGAGGCCAGGCGATGCCATCTCTGGCTTTGTCACCACCTCCATGGTGACTCTGCTGCTGTCCCCACGGGGAGCTCTGCCAGCCTCCACTGTCGGCTCCAGAGCCGGGTAATGCCACTACCTGGAACCTGCTCTGGGAACAAGAACCTTTGCTGTAGAGCAGGGCTCTCAGAGCGTGGTGAGGACTCGGCACAAGGCAGGCACATCGGGCAGGTTCAGGCGTGGATACCTGATTATATTGAGCAGTGAGATTTGGGAAGAAATCTGGGAAGAAATTGCTTCTTTAGGTAGCAAGAAGCAGGTTTTGGCAAGAGCTTCTGTGCTGGGAGAAGGCTGGTACCGAAGAACACGGTGCGGTGATGGATGAGGAGACTAAGCAAAGCAATATTTACTATTAAGAATAGTTTGGTTTCTATCAGAGCAATGTTGGAGCATCTCCTAGCTAGCAGGGAGAGCAGGGCACGGTGGAAAGGATACAGGACTAGGGATGGCAACTCCCGACCCCAACTCGTGTTCCCCTGGGCGGGTCACTGATACCTCACAGACGCCTTCGCTGATGGGGCATGATGGAAGTTAATTAGTCTTTCCTGCTCTTAGAAAATGGAAGATATTCCCTATTCTCTGTGCTGTTAGCACAAATACGCCGGGATGTTCTCTGTGGGAAATGGGTTACACGCCTTAGGGAACGGCTTGATCACCTCCATTTCTTTCTCTGTATGTTTAAAGGACTACATGGACAGCAAATCCAGCAACGTAACGGGGCCTAGCAAAGCCCCAGCTGATCAGGGTCCCATGAAACGCTTTGTGGACAGCATGCTGAAGGATATCAGGGCTTCCTACAAGTCTCGGGAAGAGCAGCTAGCTGGAGCGGCACGTGGCTACAAGAAACGCATGAAGAACTTGGTCAAGAAGCATGAGAACCTGCTGATTGCTTACGGGTAGGGCAGAGCCAGGGGCTGGGCCACCTCTGTCATAGAATCATAGAATCATAGAATGGTTAGGGCTGGAAGGGACCTTCAAAGGTCATCTAGTTCAACCCCCCTGCAAGGAACAGGGATATCTCCAACTAGATCAGGTTGCTCAGGGCCTTGTCCAACTTGGCCTTGAACGTCTCCAGGGATGGAGCATCCACCACCTCTCTGGGCAACCTGTTCCAGTGTTCTACAACTCTCACGGTATTGCCAAGGACCAAGTGGAGGTGTCCCCCCGGGCAGAGAAGGAGGCAAACGGGGCTCCCAGGTGGAGCAGAGGTTCTGGAGCACGTTTTTATCTCCCTGCTCTTGACAAACCAAAAGCAAGGAGTCTCCAGCTACACATCAGAGTGCTCTGGACACCCTGGAGCTGCTTTGCACATACATTTCTCCTGTGGAAAATTTAGGGTGAGAGATTGACTCCACGTTGGATGGTGTGGAAATGCAGAGGTACCACAAATAACTCCTGCCTCCCAGCCTGTCCCTGCAGTGCTCTCAGCTCTGCTCCGCAGCTCTCAGCAGCTTGGGCTGTGGGAAGCAGCAGAAATTCTCGTGGCATAAAAGCCACAAATAGCTCTAGGATGAGCTTCCCCCAGAAACACTCCCAGGAATATCGTGCGTGCTGCTGGG